AAGAATTATAGTGGAATGGGATAATTAACTGAACTTCATAATTCACCACCCTTTTCCTCTGAATGTAATGAATACGTTTGTGTGACTTGATCAGCGAGAAACGCTAAGCCAGAACTCCCCCTGAAGTCTCTTTTCCCTTGAGCTCACCTTCTGTTTGCTTTCAGGTGGGTTCATGAGGGAGCACTAGCCCTCTGAGAACCAGACAGGCTCAAAACTGGTCCAGGGTAAAGGGAATGTGACACCATCCAATGTCAAGGAAACGCTTGACTCTTGAAAGGAGCCTGGACAAAGACTATTTGGTAAAGGTTTAGTACAAAACCAGTTACTGCTTAAAGGCAAGCCTGTGGTAAGGGGAAAATGTAAACCTTTTAGTGCTTGTCTTTTCCTTTCTATGCTGCTCATCACCGTGGCATCTAAGAAAGCAACAGGAATTGCTCTGTTTGTTTGCCCAGGGTGTCAAGTGATTAACCCTTAATGAGCCACGGTGTTCTCAGAATGTTCAAGGCGACGTGAAGTTTATTCTCCAGAAGCCACGGTTCACCAGCCGTCACGGGAGGCAGCCGGCTGGAGGTGGCGGGTTCTCGTATACTGCGGGGTTCTGCGATAATGTCATTCCGGGTGTCGCTTAGGTTAAACTCGAGAAGCCCGCTGAGCTGTCAGTGTTAGCCTCTCTCTGGTTTACTCAGAACGTCTAAGAAGTCACACAGATGCAGATACTTGGCTTAAAATGGATTCAGACCAGTCTCTGACTCTTAATCATACAAATTACGAAAATTAGATTTCGAGTGAGTTCCAGACCATTCTCCATGATGTGGTATGGAAGTCTGTTTCGGTGTGATGTAAGCAAGGAAGCACTTTTGTATGAACAAACGTGTTTTGTTGCCTATTGTGAAGTCATTTTTCCTGAAATATAGCATCATACAGTGTAACATACATTCTGTAACGCATAGACAGAATTACAAGTTTGACAAGGACGGCCCAATTTTTGTTGTTGTCATGTTGCTTTCTAAAATCTGCTTTGTGTTACCAGGCAGTTAAATTGAAAGGGTTAAGTTTCAGGTTCTGGAGACTGAGCAAAGAGAGCAGCATATGTAGGCTGCTTGGTCCTGCCTCCTTGAAAGCCCCTTTTCACCACTCTTAGTGGTTAAATGTGGGGTCTAGAGTCAAGCTGCCTGGGCTCACCTGTTTATAAGCTGTGTCACCTTGGGCAGGTGTCTTAACTTACTTGAGCCTTAGTTGCATCATCTTTAAAATGAAGATGATGATAATCATCTCTTTCATAATGTTGTTTGGATAGAATAACGTCTTCGCACATAGCAGGTACCTAACAGAAAGGAAGTGCTAGTTTGTAACTCATCAGCAGCATCGACTTGTAATGACTATTTACATATTTGGGTTTTACGTTACTTATCTCCTTTAAGTCAGGGATTGTTTCTTGGAATCACAGAATGTTCCTCAGAGCTTGGCACCAGATGAGCACTTGGTGAATATTTTTGGAATGAAGAAGTGAGTGCATGAATGGGGTATCTGATCAACTGGGGTTCGTTTTTTTTTCCCATCTTTTTTTTTTGTGGTAAAATACACATAACATAAAATTTACCATCTTAACCATTTTAAGTGTACAGTTTAGTGGTATTTAAATGCATTCATGATATTTTACCATCATCACCACCATCCATATTCAGCTCTCTTTCATCTTGTAACACAAACTCTAGAACTGATTAAAAAAAAACTCCCCGTTTATTTCTACCCCAGCCCCTAGCAACCGCCATTCTACTTTCTGTCTCTCAGATTTGACAACTCTAGGGACCTCAAGTACGTGGAGTTAGACAGTGTTTGTTTCTTGGTGACTAGCTTATTTTGCTTAGCAGTATGCCCTCACGTTTCATCCATTTTGTGGCATATGTCAGAATTTCCTTCCTTCTTAAGGCCGAATAATATTCCATTGTCTGTATATAGCCCACTTTGTTTATCCATCCATCCATTGATGGACACTGGGATTGCTATTAAGATGAATATGACTTATACATTAGCCTCGTGATCTTATCCCTCTGCTCAGAATGTTCACCGGCTCAATGATCCACTATTTTTATTTTGTTTTTAAAACGGAAACGTCGCTTAGCAAACTTTCTATGTCCTCTTGCAAACTCCGTCCCCCCAGGTTTGCTGCCACCTCTGCTCTCTGGTAACGATGACTGTGAATGACTCCTAACGCCTAGTTCCATGTCACACAGCCTGTCTCGGAATTATTTTTGTGTTGTACTTTTGCTGTTGTTTCATGTGTATTGGTCTTTTATTTGTCCATTTAGGACGATTGTAAAGCACCTGAGGATTCGGATCACTATTTTGACCTCTCTGCCACTAGGACTGAGGGCCAAGGCCAGAAGGGTGCTTTTTCTAGCCCCCCATCACTTCAGTCTGTACAGGGTCTGCTGGAGGTCGTCGCATGTGAAAGGAACCCACACTGTCTGCACACTTCATGGGCCTCTTGTTATATTATGAAAAACAGAGAATCTGATGTTGAACTTTTAGTAATAATCAGACAGGGGAGTAAGAAGCAGTGCCCTGTGCCATGTCTTCTTCCAAGTCACCTGGGATAGTCCTCTCCTTAGTCACTGTTCTGGGGCCGAAGAACCCCAAGTATTCTTCAAAATGCGTTCCTGAAGAACTCTTGAGTTCTGTAACATGGATTCTATAACCAGCAAAAATACCCTGCAGAATAATGGAGGTGAAACCGGCATCTCCAAACAGATGTCTGCTGTGTCTGTGAACCCACACGGCTGTATCCTGTTACCGCTGCCGTTGCATTTTCTCTCTCTCTGCTTTTCTAGTCCAGGTACTGGTTTCCGTTCTCGAGGGACACTGCCCTGGCTCTGAGCAACTCCTTTCCTGGGATCTCTTATAGCATATCCTCAATGCAACTGCCAGAAACGTCTACAAAGGGTTTGTGATCTCGTCAGAGCCCTTGGGCAGCTCTAGAATGATTCTTAGTCTTTCCATTGTTGGTTATCTCCTCTGATTTCTCACGACCGCTGTCTTTGTGTTCAGATGTGCCTTGTAGACAGGCGGTCTCTCTCACTGTCTCCCATCTCTGTTGCTGTCAGGTGACCCACAACTCCTGATTTTTTTTTTTCATATTTCACTTTTTTAGTTGTTCTTGGAAGATACCATTGGTTTGCTATAAACTACTTTGTCAGCCAGAAATAGTAGTTCTCAGTTTATTTTCTTTGTATTAAAACTGTTTACTGGCTAGTGTGTTGTGCAAAATGCTACTACTACCTGCCTCAGAATTAGTGTGATTGGCAGGTTTTGTGGTTAGGCTCCCTGGATCAGTGTAATTGTCAGGGTTCATGGGTTTTTCATTTGCCCCACTATCCTCTACCTTCGGTTAGACATGCCATCAATCATTTCTTCCATTTGGAATGTTGTTTATTTTAGTGAAGGCAATCATTCAACAATGTCTTTGAGTAAGTGAATATTTTAATATAAATGATAAAAAGTTTAATGAGCTGAATTTTAAATATATTTAAATTTACATTGAAAGGAGAGTACAATACTAGAATGTACAGTGAAACCAAAGCTTAGAAAAGCTGTATTTATAAGAGTCCAGTATGAAAAAAAGTATGAAAAAAGGCTATTACCAATGTCATGGTTTTTACCTTTGTCTTGACTAATAAGCATTGTTTAAATGTGTCCTTTTTGGGGTAATTGTGAGAAAAATTATTAGTGTGTTAAAAACTACCTACATTATAGTTTGTGAGTGTAATAATTGAGATAACTGGACATACAACTTCTATTTGAATTTTTAAGTGAATGAATAACATAAAAGGAACCCATCCACACACCCTAACCAGAGAATCAGATGCTAAATCCAGAATTAGCAACAGACTCCTAGATTCCTTTCTTCCTAATGGCCTCATTTGCTTATTGTAATGAAAGACCTTTGGGGGTTGAGATATTTTTAATAACATCCATGATGGGAAATCCTGCTTCATAGTCAAGGAAAGAGGGCCAATCTCTGGCTTAAGTTTTTCATTTCATCCTCTGTGGAGCCACAGCCCTCCAACGAGAGGGCGTTGGAATGACCAGGGCGCCAGCTCTAGGTCTGAAAAGCACCACTGCCCTGGCCCCAGGGCGGCTCCCAGCCAGGGCCTGAGAGGGTCCGGATGTCCTGAAGTCAGGGAAGTCCTCTGAGGGTGCTGGCTGGAGTGCTCTCGGAAGGCCTTGCAGAGGCTTCCTTAGGCTGCACAGCTATCCAGGAGGACCCCTCTGAGCCAGGATTTCCTGCCCTTCACTCAGGGTCAGACTTGTACTGAGGCCTTTCAGCTTCCCCCGGACCCTCCCCCCTTTTCTAGGAATTCCCCTCATGGAATTTCTCTTACAGGAATCAGTTTCTTGCATGTTTGATCGTATGTTGGCAACTGTCTGCTTCTCAGGGGACCTAGACTTACACATTCTCGCGTGATGTCTATAAAAAGATACTAGTGTGTGAAATTACTTAGGAGAGAAAGGATGTTTATCATCATTTGAACAACAACAATATGCCAATACTGCTAGATTCTTAAATTTAGGAAAGTTAAAGCTTTATATAATTGTGAGCTAGCCGTTCAGAATTTTTTTTTCCTGTTGCAGTGTATTGATTGTTTGAATGTAAACTTGCTTTAGGAAATACTGAATTATCACAGTCATCAGACCCAGAGCTATGTTCTAAAGAATTTGTCCATTTACTCAGGATGACTGGATGGCTGTGAAATATTAAGCAGTTGGTAAGCCATGTTTGAGATACCTACGGATATTTAATAAGAAATTAGAAGGAAATATTTCTGAGGGTGTGTCAATAGCATATATTGTAGAAAAGCAGAATCATTCAATAGAATAAATAAGTAGGGACAGATTGGTGTGTCACAGATGTTTGGTATTTCTTGCTTTCAATTTGTAGGATTTATACGAGAGTGTTTACATTTTGCACATTAGTGTTAAAATTCTTCTTTTTCTTGCAGAATCATGGTGAAAGATTCGTTTTCATTACAGAGTGGTATGATCCAAATGCTTCCCTTTTTCGACGTTATGAGCTTTTATATTACCCAGGGGATGGATCTGTTGAAATGGTAAATGAGCCTTTTTTTTGCTTGAAAGTTGGTGAGGGAGTGAAGGTGGGAGAGAGAGAGAAATAAGATTGTCGTTTATATAGTTGTGTTTAAAATACATTTATATACGTATATTAAATGGGAATTCTTTGTTTGGTGTTATCCCAATACAACAAGATAGCTTTGTGCCTTTAGTTTTAAATGTCAAAATAGGAATTCATATTTTTTGGTTAGAAAACCAAAGTGGGATTATTCATGTTTTGGATTAAACAATAGTAAGTGGTTATAGATGAAGACTATCATAGTCATAAATATGTCACCATTATCGAAAGCCATTATCTCTACAAAAAGCCAAACTGAAGAAGATGGAACTAAGAGGCCCCACTTATTTCATTGTGTTCTTTCACTGGCAACCCCTTTACCTGTGGAACTATTTGGTATTGGGGTTTTGCCTAGGCAAGAAAACAAAGGGAATTTCTCTGGCATCTCAGAGGTATTCATTTCCTGAAATGATTTGGCAATAAATTTTTCTTTTCAGGGTTTTTTAAAGTGTTATATTTGTAATAAGAAGTTTTTATGTTATTACTGAAATAGACTAAGACATACAGAAGTTATACTATAAAAAAATTATGATTTTGTAGCAAACACAAAACCAGATGTCGCCTATGTTTAATAAAGCAGAGCAAAGAACTATTTCTCGATTGTAAGGTTAACGTTCCCTACTGATAATTATTTGTTTTATTGTATTGTTTTGGGTTATAGCATGATGTGAAGAACCGTCGCACCTTTTTAAAGCGGACCAAATATGATGACCTTCACTTGGAAGACTTATTTATAGGCAACAAAGTGAATGTCTTTTCTCGACAGCTGGTACTCATCGACTATGGGGATCAGTATACAGCCCGCCAGTTGGGCAGCAGGAAAGAAAAGTAAGAAAACAGTTATATAATCTTCTTATTTCCATTCCGAAAACATGTCTTGGTACCAAATTCTAATTTCTTGTTTCTGTCTTGTGTTTTGTTTATGGTGTAGATATTTTTCAGTGACCCAATTGAGTGTTAGGACATTTCCAGAATTTTGTGGACTGTGTTCTATGATTTGCTCTGCTCTTCACTCGGGTCATAAGGTGATGCCCATAGTCCTAGGGAGTGATTATGTTCTGGGGGAAAAAGTACGAATTTTTATCCACCCTCGGCGTACAGAGAATGTCTAACTGGAATCTGAGAGCAGCTGACTAAGAAGGGTCTTGGTGGACAGGATAAACATGGCGTGTGGGAAGAAAAGTAGTGAGTACCATAAGCTCAGCGGAAACTCGGGAGAGTATTAACACTTCTTGGGAAAGAGCAGGGAAGGCTTTGGGAAGGTATTTGAGCTGGATCGTGAAAGATGGATTAAATTTCCACCCCGTTAGAACAAGTGGGGGGCGTGGAGGTCCCAGCAGTGAGTGTGAACAAAGGTACAAAGGCAGGAAGTTTATGTCACGTCCTGGGAAGAGCCCACAGTTCCACTTCACTAGTGCTTGGTGCTTAAAATCTTTAAAATTTAAGCACCAAGCCTTACATTTTAGCGTTGGTGCCAAATTTTAGGCTGTCAGCAATAGGTCTGAAGAGGAAGGAAGGAATGTGTCAGATGAGCGGAAGGAAGTACAGTTGGCAATGACAAGCACTCAATGACCGTTAGCCATTAGTGTATCAGGCACAGTGGTAAGATGATTTGTATGTGTCGTTTATGTAAGCCCCACGACAGCCTAAGGAAAAAGGCACTGTTACGATGATCTCTACTCTGCAGATGAACAAGTTGAGGCTTCGAGATGTTAGGCAACGTGCGCAAGGTCACGGGCTTGCGGCAGAGCCCAGAGTCAGACTGAACCAAGGACGGGACGATTTAGTTGTAGGGGAATGGATGGGGACGGGAGACGGCCGGCCTCTTGCTGTAGTAATTCATTTTTATGTCTCCTGTGGCACCTGGCACATCTCACACTTTACGAGCACCTCCTCGGTGTCAGCTGGGTGAATTAATGAATAACAATGTAAAATTTATCTACTCTACCTTCTTTTTCATTTCCTCCCCGTTTCCAAATGATGACCTTTGGTCTAGTCGACAGAACTGGTTTTGTCTAGACGGTAATGCGTGCTGTCTGTTCTTACCTTATTCAGACATGATGTATGTCTGATAAATATCGACCGATCAACTGAAGAAAAAATATGAGTGTTGTAAAAAGAAAAACAACCCATAAAAAACTGTGACAGAAACTTGTCGGTCTTGTTTACAACTGTACCCCAAAAGAGCGCTGTTGTGATGCCTCAAATGGTAAATTACTCACAGGGCATGCGCCACAAAATGTGTCCAATGAATGGATGGATGAGTTTACATCACTGAACATGGTTGTTATGTCTGGAGGAAGGCGCCTCCTGCCCACTTCTCTCCCTCCCACTGCTTGTGGCTCGGCCCCAGGGCGCCCTCCACGTGTGTCTCTCTCGTCTTCTCTCCTTACTGTCTGGCAAAACTGCATCTGTCATTCGGACTCGTCCTCAGTTTTGATGTAGAAGAGACACAGGACAAGTTGAAGATGCAGCTCTGCAGGGCAGACCTGGAGAGCCCGCCTGCCCAGGGTCATCCACCTCCCCAGGGTCCCCTGCTCCCCCAGGGTCCCCCGCCAGCCCAGGGTCCTACACTGCCCCGCAGCCCAGGGAGCAAGGGAGCCAGAGGCCCGGCGGATAACCAGGTGGAAGCCGGAGAACTGTGGACTGTGCCGGCTCCAGGCCTGCAGGCCTGAGAGAAGAGGCAGGCCGCAGGTGACCGGAAACCCTTAAATGTGGCCCGAGTGAGCAAGCGGTTGCAGGGAGTGGAGCAAGGCAGCTCTGTCCCGAGAAGTGACTTTACTCATGAGGATCAGGGGTCCTCATGGCCCTGTTGTCGTCGGTTTTATTTCCTTCAGCCAGTTGGCCTGACAGTTTCCAGTGGACCAGGACGGCTTCTCAGGGAGGAGACGAGCAGAACGTTAGTTCCCTTCTGCTCTCACCTTTGGGAATCGCCTCCCTCAACACCGATGACCGGTACTGCCCGTGTCCTCCAGGACCAGTGGGAAGCAGCTGAGTTTTGGCTGCTAGTACCTTCACTGAAATGCGTTAGAGGAAGGCCTCACTTAGTTCAGTGACCAAGACCTTGCTAGAAACCCACCCCAATCCTTTTCTCATCTTCCCTTATCTAGTGTCATTGTCCATGTGACAGCTTAATTGCACAACAGCATAACTGCACCCCAGATAATGCCATGAAAAATGCCTTCCCGTTATGAAGTTCCCTGGGAGAAATTAGGATTCATTCCTCTGTAAAATGACGTCCAATTCTGCCTCCCCATTCTGGAATTCTCTATCACAGGGCTCTTGGTTAGTTAAAAGAGCAGAACTGAATTTCCTTTTGTGCTCCAGCCTTAGCCATCTTTCCCTAGAGTGGGTTTAATTGATAATGTATTTTGGTTAATTAATGTCTTTTTGCCATTTCTGTCAGCCGTATTATGTTATGTTTTCGGTGTGTCTTTTGTAAACAGCATACAGTTTTTTTTTGTTTTTAAAAATTCAATCTGAAAATCTCTAGATTTTCATTGGTAGGATTAGTACATACACATTTACATATGTGGTGTTATTGGTATTTTTGTACATATTGCTACTATTTTACTTCTTTCCTGCTTTTTTCTTTTTTTTTTTTTTTGGTTAAGGTTTAGATATGTGTCTATCAGGTCAAGTTTGTGAATTGTGTTGTTCACATCATTCACGTATTCACTCATTATTTTTGTCCACTTATACTGTCAATTACCAAGTTCTGTTAAAAATTTCCACTTGTCCTTTGTCTATTTCTCCGTGTAGTTATGTTAAAGTTGATGTTATAATTTTGAGGTTATGGGTCACTAGGTTTTAAAATTGTTATCTTCTTGGTAAATTGAACCTTTTGTTCTTATGAAGTGATCATCTTTATCTCTAGCAATGAATTTTGCCTTAATCTGCTTTGTCTGATAGTTAATGTTTGCATGGTATGCCTTTTTTTCCATACTTTTTACTTTCAGTCTTTCAGTATCCTATTCTAAATATGCCTTTGTGAATAACATAGTTATCTGTTTTTTATATCTAGTGGTATTCTTTGTCCTTGAATGACTTTTTTTCTGTGTTTTAGAAATCCAGTAATCCAATTTTATACTCTTCATCTTTTACTGTACAGCATTTACTTTTACTGTAATGACTAATGTATTTGGGGTTAACCCTGCCATCTGATCCTATGCTTTTTCTCCTGTTTTATTCCCGTTATTTTTGTTCCTTCTCTGACTTGTTTTGGATTGGTTGAGGATATTTCAATGCATTTTTTTCTCTATTGTTTGGAAGTTGTACATTCTTTTTCTATACTTTTAGTACTTTAGTACTTCAGTACTTTAGAATTACAGCATGACTATTTAATTTATGAAAGCCTGGAGTAAATCAGTATCATTAGCTTCCTACCTGAAAATAGAACCTTAAAAACAGTGTAGCTCAGTTTTCTGCCTTGCTGAATTATATGCCAGTTTTGCTGTGTATTTTTTCCTGTCATTTTTGTGAACCTAATGATTTATTATTATTGTTTTATATTATCAGTATTCAATTAGATATTACAACTTTAACCTTTTATGTTTCTGTTTGGGATTATTTTGGTTTTGCTTAAATTAGATTTTTTTAAAGAATTTTCTTTAGAGTGTGTCCACTGGTAGTTCACACTGGTAGTCTTTCAGTTTGTCCTCATCTGGAAGTGTCTTTATTTCACTTACATTCTTGTAATGACCCTCTTATCTGACATGTTTTTTTGTTTCTCTGTACTTCATTCTCAAGCTGTTCAAAATTCTTCCTTCAGTTGCATCTGGCCTTCTGTCAAACCATTTGTTTAGTTCTTTCTTTTGTTATTGTATTTTTATCACTAGATTTTCTAGAAGATTCTTTTTCCAATCTCCGTGTTTATTATTTATAGCTTATAGTTTTCTGTTTCCTGGTGAAATGTTGTCACTTGTTTTTTAGTCCTTTAATCATCATTGGCATGGTCATCTCATAGTCCAGATCTGATAATGCCCGGGTCTGTTCTGTGCTATTTCTTCCTCATCTCCCTCATGTTGGTCTTTTTCCGCCTGTTGCATGTGTTGCTATCTTTGGTGATGTTTGTCATGAGTGTCTATGTGTGGATGCATACATGCATGTTGTGTATTATTATGACGATTATTTGATGTACAGGATCAAGTTAACCCCCTCCTGAGGGGAACTGTTGGCTTCGGACTGTTTCTGGAGGCATTAGTAGCAATCTGGATGACTGTAAATTCACAGTTGGAAGCTCCCAGACCACCTAGGTGAAGGGAACTTGTGCTGCCGGACCATGTGAGGCCCAGTTCGTCTGTCTCACCCTTGGGGCATAGCCGTTGGTCCCAAATTATTACAGGGAGCATCCTCCATGGGGATCTATTCCCCAGTCCCAGTGACGCAGTACAGTTTCAAGTTCAGATTTGCCAGACAGGCAGTGCTGTCAGGCCATTGCAACTTTCATTCTCATTTTTCTGGGTCTCCACTTTTTTTCACTTTTGTATTGATAATTGCTTAGTATCTAGTCAATTTATCTTTGCTTTCAAAACGTATTTTTAAACTATCGTACCACCATTTTCAGTTTCCAGTGGAAGGATTGCTCTGAATAACTGCCATTGTTGCCAGTGGGAAGCTCTGGCTCAGAAGTTTCCTGCAAACCACACGTACCTCGTGGGAGACTTTTTCTCTTCATCCGCGGGCAGGCACCCACTTCACACTTGCAAAGAAAACATACATTGGCCTGAGGCTGATGTTGTAGGGTGGGTTTTTATATGCTTAGGGAAAACAGGAGTACCTTTTGAAATATTTACATAAGTTAAAGTTTACAAATGTAGTCCTGGAGGTGGACAACATTCCAAGAGTCCATAGCATTGTGCGACCTGGGACGTCGATTGTACAGTGTACTGATGAGTCATCTTCATCACATCCATATTTGCTGCAATTTTTGTTCAGAGTCTGAAGGTGTGTGACGAACATAGTTTTTACATGGCTCTGTGAAAATTGTCGTTTTCCAGAAATCTGTATCCGGTCTGAGTTTTGTGAAAGCTGGCCAAACTTTTTACTCTCCACTGCTAAGAAGCTTTAATGTCAAAGAACGATTTTTATATTTTGTTGGTTTTCTTTCGAGGGAATCTCATGCTGCATCCTACAGAGCATGCCTCAATGCAGGTGAGAGGTAGATTGCCACAGTGACAGCCTCCAATGGGTCACACCTGATGTCCATGTCCTTGGCTGGTCCCCTCTCACATGGACTCTCGACTGTACCATGTGACTTGCATTGGCCAAAGGGACAGCAGCACACGTGCCTCAAGAGGATGCTTGATAAGGTCCTGTATGCTGGACGTTGGGTGGCTGTGCATAGCCTGGTCTAGCCTCCTTAAGGATGAAAGACCACAAGGAAAGAGGCCACGCCCCCCGCAAACCCTGAGCCCAATGCAGCTGTGTGAATGGCCCCAAGTGAATCCACTGCCCAGCCCACCTACAGAAGCTTGGGAAATCATTTTGTAGGGGGTGGTTTGTGCAGCAGCAGATAACAGCTGCACTATTAATATACTATTTCTGTACCGTTCTGGCTCCTGTGTGTGCTGTCTTCACTTTTAAATAACATAGGCTTCCTGATGCCTCTCTTATTTTCCCTCCAAAATACATTTTAATTATTGCCTACTGCACAGTTAAACAGTGACAGAAGAATTTCTGTAGAGTAATTAGTCGCAGTACTCAACCCTTTGTCTTCTGTAGGCATTTAAAGAAAAATGAAACGGTAGTTTTAACTAAGCTTTGTCAGTTTTGTACTTTTCATGTTGCTGCTTGTTCACAGGAATTGATGACTGCTGATGTGTTCTATGTTTTCTTTAAGAGCTGTGGTTCATGGAAGTTCTTCTAGAATTTAGCATAAACAATTGATGGGCTTGTTTGGCTTATAACATTTAAATAATGTGAGCTAAAAAGCAACTAGTTTAATTGTGTTTTCAAAGAAGCCTTATGATACAAAAATACTAGAAGTGACTCATTTGCTTCCACATAAAGAAAAAAGGTAGTCTGATATAGCTTTTAATAAACAGACTAAGATAAACAACTTTTGTTTTTTAAATTTTAAAAGCCAGCCATAAGGTATATCCAGTTGTAAATGAGGATATTTGAGTTATGAGATCCTCAGCTAAGTTTGTCTCATTGATGAAAAAAGGCAGCTATGAAAAGGCCAACCATTCTCCTTTTATGGATTTCTTGAATTAATGTCAACGTGTCAGAACAATCGAAAATAGAGAAGGGAAAGTGACAGAAATTCTATCATAATTTTGTGTGTAAACTGAATTACTCCAACTAATCTGATTTTTGTCTTGCATTTGGAAATATAACGCTGAAGGATTTTGTGATTATGCTCCTTCAGTAATATTAATGGTGACGTCATTTGTGGTATGGAAGGAGTGCAGACCTGAAGGTGTTGGCAGCTGGGTGTTTTGTTCTGAAGGTGCCACAGACGAGCTGTGAGATCTTTGGCGCATTACCTCTCTGGGCCTAGTTCCTCGTTAGTAAAGTGAGGACACTCATGTGTTCTCCATTGCCAAACATTTATTAATTCTGTGGCTTCACAGAGGGGGAGTGCGTTGTTCTCACGAATCTTTAGAGGAGAGGGTGATTTTAGAAGTTAGTGTGGCATTTGCTCTTCACATCCGTCATCAGGTAAGAAGGTTCTTGGTGCATCACGTGTGCTATGAATATGAATGATATTAAGGTATTAATAGAATTTATAATTATTTCCAAATGGATGCTGAACTGACTGTATAGCATTCGTATGTGAAAGTCTAAGAGACTAAAAATCAAGCTCATATGTTTAATGCAACTTTTTAGAGATTTGTCCTGTTGTATAAAATCTACCTAAGAAATAGAAATTTTAAGCACCTGTGTTTTCTAATCTGGGCATATTAAAATGACAATTTTAAATTTTTTCCCCCTAAGCTTTTATTATTATTATTTTTAGATTGGGTACCTAATTTTGATTTTCTTGGGAAAAAATGTTAAATGTAGAAGTTTTTAAGAGACTTTTAATATACTTCTCTTTATATATCATTTTGATGTTTGATGATCTAGGATGATTGTTAAGGAAAGTACATAGCTTGAGAATTAAAAGTAAAAACTGCTGGAGCTAGTTTCATTTTCAAACTTACTCTTTATTCCTTCACAGAACATTAGCCCTGATTAAACCAGATGCAATATCAAAAGCTGGAGAAATAATTGAAATAATAAACAAAGCTGGATTTACTATAACCAAACTCAAAATGATGATGCTTTCAAGGTAATTTGTTGATAATTTTCAGTTATGCAAAGTCTGGCTTCCTTTTTTTAAAAATAGCCTTTTATCTTTTATGTCATTGTTTAAAATTTTAAAATCCCCCACTGAATGGTAAAGAATAGAACAGTAATCTTACTTAGCATGAGAAACTGTAAGATGACAGGGAATCAGATGCGTAAATAATGACTGATCCAGAAGCAAGGAGTGGGCATATCGGACATGCCTCATTACCTGTTTGATGTCTCCAGCAACCCCATCTGCTCTTATAACACCCATGTGTGATCATTGTAATCTCTTCTTAATATTCGACTATAACACGGTAGAAATGATAGATGGGTATGAGTGTTTGTTTCTATTTGACAAGGGAGTGCTGCTGTTGAGATTTCCAAAGGCGATGCATTTGGAAATGTTTATATTTAGCTACTCCTGGTATGTATAATTGGTAAATACACCTGTTTACTACTCTGAAAAGCAATCCGTTCTGTCTGAGCAGGTGTTTTCTACGTTATTTAGTGAACGTAAGACTTCCCTGCACGTAGGAGCATTAATGTAGCTGTCAGGTAGAGCTGGCTCCAGCGGGGTTCCTATACGACCCCACTAGTTTTTTGGTTTGTTTTCAGTCATTGTCTTCTCATTGCTGTTCCTGGATATCTGTTGCATGGGACAGTTGCTTTTTTTGTGTGTCTGAGTGCAGGGACTGTGGATAGCACTAGTCAGATATGCAGTGCAGCTTTGATAAGCCTGATCCCTAGAAGCCTTAACAAAACCCTCAATTTAACCCCAACAATCACATACTTTGAATTTTTCCCCTATGGAAGTAAGATCTCCCAGTTTACACATTTTCTGGAAAGACTGGAGCATTGAACTTGGGTTACCCACAGTTTCATGAACAAGCAGTAAACAGGCCCGCTCTTTGTACTGAGGACAGACATGACCTCATCCCTTGAAGTTGCTCGCTGTAAGAAAGCCTGGGGTAAAGAGCTGGCAGGGCCTTCCTTTCTGGGCATACCCAGTAAGACACGTTAGGAGTGCAGGGACCCATGGGGGAGCATGTCCCGATACTTAAATCTTCTCTAAACTAATTTGCTCAGGCATCAGTTCCTCCATCGCCACCGTATCTTAAAGGCAGCATCCGCGTTTCATCTGACTTCGTATTTCTAATTCTTGGATCAATGCTTTAGTCAGGGGAGGCACTAAGTAAATATTTCATGAAAGAATAAATGGATACATCTTTGTGAGAGAAGGGTGCATTTCTTTATAAGAGCACAGCAAGACCTAACAAAACAACAACACAAAGCTCCTCTAGGTGGTGATGCACTTGTTAACAGCTCTTTCCATCTAAACTTTTTCAGGAGGAATTCGATAAGAATGATGGGAAAATTCATGAACTCTCATCTTGGTTTCAATTTTAAATTTTGCTGGGGATAACTATGGGCCAGAGACACGTTAGAAAAAATAATGAGTCAGTTTTAGTAGTTTCTGAAGATTTTTCTTTTCATTGATATAAAAGATTGTTTTTTTTTCTCTTTTAGTAGTTGTTTTGAAAAGTAGAATTGATCATTTTAGTAGTCTCGCTGCTAACTTTTCTAAAATACTCCCACATGAGTTTTTTAGGCATTCAGTTTTTCCTCATTTTAGGCTGCAGTACAATACATCCCTTTCATTTTCGTGAATTCTTTCCCTTACCCTCTAGAATTTTTTTTTTTTGGTTGGTAATAGAAAGGGCATAAGCATAAATTTGAAAGGAGGGGGGTATTTGAGCAGACTATTTGGTGAAAAATCATTGATCAATTCACATACAGGTCAAATAAATAGAGGATTTCATTTTTAGTTTATTAACATAAGCTAAAATAATAATTTTACATACTTTGTAACTATTGTCATTTTAATTATTTTACAGGAAAGAAGCAGCAGATTTTCATGTAGACCATCAGTCAAGGCCCTTTTTAAAGTAGGTGCCGAATTTGGGGCCAGGGGTGTATAATGGAGGATATCCTGGAAAACATGTGAACTCATAAGAGTTATAATTTTACAATTAAGAATTTTGTTACATGAAAATAATTTGTCAAAAGGACCACAGCAGTATCTTGCAACAGCAGAGAACTGTTTTCCTAAGAATTGGCTTTTTTCTATCCTTTTATCCGTAGACGAACTTAATGCTTAGCGACTGACAGCTCATTGTCATTCTTTGAATTCTAATACATTTTACACAAAAATTCTTGTAAAAAATATGTTGACATCACTCTCATCACTTTCTCTATTATGAAATTTTATTTGACTTTAATGATAAACCACATGAAAGTAAAGATTCTCCTGTACGTTTCTGAGCAACAGGAAAAGCATAGATGAAATGTACGTATTTTAAGTCATGAACTAGTCGTAATTTGATGAAACAGTGATTGTTCTGCTAACAGTAATTGATTTGACAACCCTAGTGATTTGTGGTGACTTGGGCCATTGCAAGGCGCTCAATTTATGAAAATTTTATCTCGCCCATGTAAAATTCACTATATTCAATGGTTCTGAGATTGTAATATCCACGAGTGTGTTGAAATACCCAAATTGTAGCATACCCTTATTGTTAAGAGAGACGCCTAGGTTGACAGAGAAATGAAGCTAATTGGCGTTGCACCTGTTTCATAGTGAGCTGATCCAGTTCATCACAAGCGGCCCAATCGTTGCCATGGAGATTTTAAGAGATGATGCCCTATGCGAATGGAAGAGACTTCTTGGACCTGCAAATTCGGAGATGGCTCGCACAGAAGCCCCAGGAAGCATTAGAGCCCTTTATGGAACAGACGGCCTACGAAACGCAGCTCATGGCCCTGATTCATTCGCTTGTGCTGCCAGAGTAAGGTGTTTTCAGCATATGTCCATTCTGTTTCGGTTTTGTGAAACGTTTGATGTCAAAGTAAAGCTTTTCTGTCACTGCTGACTTGGGAGGATTTATGCAGCTGACCTAGTAGTAGAGAAAACCGTTGACCATTTGCCTAGGATTCAGCCGTGTTTCCAACATATGTCTCCTTTGTGAACTGGTAACCTGGCCATGGCCAAGATAGGTTTCCTCCAATTAAAATACTTGTCCCGTTTCTCATTCATAAGACTGAAATTACTGAGGCACATCAGTGTTTGAATTTATGTGTGGATACCAGTTTGTGGACAGCGACTATTCCAAAAGAAGGCATCATTTGATATATTCATTCTTCAGCTCAGACTAACACTCCATTTTCAAGCTTCATATCCTTTTCCTACATAAAGCTAGTGTTTATGAAAAAGTTTCCCTACAATTATTCTTTGTCTTAAATCCATATAAATAAGGTATTACACTGGGTTTACACTGGTGTTGAATTAACAAAGTGCAAGTTTATCCTTGGCATCATGAGAAGTTTCTCAGCTAATTTCAGATGGTTTTTAGTCTGGTCATGCTTACAATGAAATAATATTAGACAGTTTTATAATAATTGATTTCTTCTTTTTCTTACAACTCTTATCAATAAATCCTTTCAGCTCTCCTTCCTAATTAGAACTTGAATCTGATCACTGTGGTCTAAGTCACTGTTATATTTTGTCAGGACTGCTGCAGACGCTTCCTAACTGTTCTTTGCTCTTCTCCTCTTACACTCAATTTATGAAAATTTTATCTTGTGCGAGGAAAATTAACAATGCCCAGAGTGATTTTTTAAAACAAATTGGATCGACAATTCAGCCATTGAAAACCCTGTGGTGAATTTTTGTCTGTTGTAGACTAGCCTCCAAAGCTCCACCTGGTTGGCCCCTGTCTCTCTCTTTCCAACTTTAGCTCCCACCCATCTCTCCCTTTCTGTGTCCCAGGTCCACTGGCCATCTTGCTCTTCCCAGGATAGCGTATTTCTGCCTGGCCTATTCAATTAACAGCAGACAGGATAGTGTGGTTGGATGGGGGTGAGGGAAGGAGGGGCTTGATGAGGTCGCAGAAGTGATCCGATGGTCTTGTAGACAAGATGGTACCAGACAGTTAGCCTTTTCTCTGAGGAAATGGAGAGCCACTGCAGGGCTTTGAACAGAGGACGATGTGCTTGATTTGCTGTTGAAAAACATCACCGGTGGGGGCCGGCCGAGTGGCTCAGTTGGTTAAGAGCTCGCTTAAGAGTGTGAGCTTTGAGCAACAGAGGTTTGATTCCCGGCCCAAGCTGAGCTGCTGCTGAGCTGCCAACAGGTGGCAGGATGACTCAGCTAAAAAAAAAAAAAAGAAAAAGAAAAAGATCACTGGCTGTGGCGATAGTCAAGAGAGAATGGCTTGGACCAGGGTGGTAGTCATGAGGATAATATATATTTTAAAATACATTCTAATGGTTGAAGGTCAAATGGTCAAGATTTCTTTCCAGACTGAATATAGAGTGTGAGAAAAAGAGATAATCAAGGATTCCTCCCAAGTTCTTGGAAACTAGAGAAAAGAGAATTTGTCATCAGCAGCCTTGCCGGCAGTGTTTGCAGGTTGCCTGTTTATGGCGTACGGCCTTCCAGATCATTCCCTGGATCATTTATGTAATTTACATAGTAAGCACCATTAGGCATGGTTTTAATTTAATTCGATTCTTTTTTCCACTTAATGTTATATCATAGCATTTTATGTGTTACTAGATTACTGTCAAAAGTACATTTTAGTGGTTGCAGACGATTCTCTTGCATGGATATCACACGATTTATTTAAACATTCCCTTACTTTTGGACACTTTGTTAGCTTTTTTTTTTCATATTTGTAAATAAGGGTGCATTGATCATGTAACTTCATAATTCATTTCTTAATATATTGGATGATTTTCTGATAATAATTGTTTGATATTAGAAGAGTATATAGAGAGAAAGTTCTATATTTTTAAAATGTTTTAATCTGGGGCATTTACAGAAATGATATTTATTTAAAACTACTGTGTAAAAGGTTTGGAGAAACTTTTAACTGGCAACCACTTGGTAATACTTTTATTATGATAACTAAATATGTCAGCATAGATTAGTCAGATGTTTTAGTGAGGTTACCATAGGAGCTTATCAGAGTGAAATTTATGAGACAGTGCAACCATATACTTCACGACTTGTTAAATAAAATATAGTAAAAAAGCCACATACTTAAAGCTTATCAAATTGAGTCTGAATTGTATTTTTTGAGGAGCGTTTCCTATCTTTGTCCATTTCTGCTGGGCAATGTAGGGATGTATGAAAGGCTGAGTAACAGGAAGGGCTCTTGGAAGAAAAAGGGCTTTATTAAAAATGTTTAAGCAGCTCAAATCACAAGCAAATATGAAAACTTTTTTGTCTGAAACTTTACCTTGTTGTGTGACATCTCTGAATTAGTTGCCATAGCAACAACCTAGTGAAAATGCTCTTGAAAATGTTAGCTTGGGTTCCTAGCTGGGATAGTTGTGCCAACTGTACAGGGAGAAAGAGAAAGGAAAGGTATAAAACAGAATTACTTTCACTAAGAAGATACATGTAAGTAACACCTTTACATTCCTTGCCTTGAACACATGTTTATTCAGCATATGTAAATGAGTATTTGGAAAATTGGCTAAACCAGAGGCAGAACAGCTCAGCATCGTTTTTACTTTTGGAAGAACGATGATAGAGACAGGTCAGGCCTTTGGGGCCAGCGTGACCTAGACTTGAACCCTGGCTTTGCCGCTTGCTGACGTGGAAGGGCTTGTCCCTCAAGCTTTCTGAGTCTCATTTTTCTCATTTGTACAATGTGGAGAGATAGTATTTTATTTGGCACGTGCAGCGTTTATAAGTTCTTGAATTTCAGTTATCCCCAAATATTGAGAAGGTGCTAGTGAGCAAGAAAAGTGCAGGATCCCATGAGACTAACATCTCTCCTGATGGTGCTGGGAGGGGTGGTGGTGGGGGTTTGTCAGATAATAACTGGACATGGAGCATGTCAGGCGGTAAGCGTGCTGAAGACGATTAAGCAAGGGAAGGGGATAGAAAAAGGGCAGCGTGAGGGAGGATTGTGTGTTGAACAGGGCTGCAGCATGCTGCTAAGTACAAGCTGTGCAGGAAGTCCTCTCAATCCTTGGTTTGAGCAGAGATGAGAAGGAAGCGAGGGAGAAAACCATGCAGCCATCTGGGGACAGAGCGTCCAGGGCAGACAAGGAATAATACACGCTGATTCTCAGGTGGGGACACAGGTGCCGTGTTCAAGGAACAATGAGTCATGGAGGCCGGGGCAGAAAGGTGTTCCAGTGAAGAAACAGATGAGTGCGGAGGCAGGCCGGGGGCCAGATCGCATAGCCCTTGTAGGAGGTCTGGGACTTTGAAACTCATCCCAAGTGAGGTAGGAGGCCATTGGAGGGCTCCGTGCAGAGCGACACACTCTGGTTTTACAAGTTCCATTCTCACTGCTGTGTTAATAGGTCAGGCGGGGTGCG